GGAAACAATAGAAGAATAATCAAGAGGACAGTAGATAACGATTAACATTGCATTTACATTTGTTTTCTAACCATTTCAACCCATGCAAGGCAATAAAGCCACTAAGACACAAACGGATACTGAGTGTGAAAGAATAAGAAAATAAAGAAACAATATTAAGAAGCGGAAACAATAGAAGAATAATCAAGAGGACAGTAGATAACGATTAACATTGCATTTACATTTGTTTTCTAACCATTTCAACACATGCAAGGCAATAAAGCAACTAAGACACAAGCAGATCCTGAGTGTGAAAGAATAAGAAAATAAAGAAACAATATTAAGAAGCGGAAACAATAGAAGAATAATCAAGAGGACAGTAGATAACGATTAACATTGCATTTACATTTGTTTTCTAACCATTTCAACCCATGCAAGGCAATAAAGCCACTAAGACACAAACGGATACTGAGTGTGAAAGAATAAGAAAATAAAGAAACAATATTAAGAAGCGGAAACAATAGAAGAATAATCAAGAGGACAGTAGATAACGATTAACATTGCATTTACATTTGTTTTCTAACCATTTCAACATATGCAAGGCAATAAAGCCACTAAGACACAAAGCGGATCCTGAGTGTGAAAGAATAAGAAAATAAAGAAACAATATTAAGAAGCGGAAACAATAGAAGAATAATCAAGAGGACAGTAGATAACGATTAACATTGCATTTACATTTGTTTTCTAACCATTTCACCCCATGCAAGGCAATAAAGCCACTAAGACACAAACGGATACTGAGTGTGAAAGAATAAGAAAATAAAGAAACAATATTAAGAAGCGGAAACAATAGAAGAATAATCAAGAGGACAGTAGATAAGGATTAACATTGCATTTACATTTGTTTTTTAAACCATTTCACCCCATGCAAGGCAATAAAGCCACTAAGACACAAACGGATACTGAGTGTGAAAGAATAAGAAAATAAAGAAACAATATTAAAAGCGGAAACAATAGAAGAATAATCAAGAGGACAGTAGATAACGATTAACATTGCATTTACATTTGTTTTCTAACCATTTCACACCATGCAAGGCAATAAAGCCACTAAGACACAAACGGATACTGGAGTGTGAAAGAATAAGAAAATAAAAAACAATATTAAGAAAGCGGAAACGATAGAAGAATAATCAAGAGGACAGTAGATAACGATTAACATTGCATTTACATTTGTTTTCTAACCATTTCAACCCATGCAAGGCAATAAAGCCACTAAGACACAAACGGATACTGAAAATAAGAAAATAAAGAAACAATATTAAGAAGGGAAACAATAGAAGAATAATCAAGAGGACAGTAGATAAGGATTAACATTGCATTTACATTTGTTTTCTAAATTTTCACCCCATGCAAGGCAATAAAGCCACTAAGACACAAGCGGATACTGAGTGTGAAAGAATAAGAAAATAAAGAAACAATTTTAGGAAGCGAAAACAATGAGAATAATCAAAGAGGACAGTAGATAACGATTAACATTGCATTTAAATTTGTTTTCTAACCATTTCACCCCATGCAAGGCAATAAAGCCACTAAGACACAAGCGGATACTGAGTGTGAAAGAATAAGAAAATAAAGAAACAATATTAAGATGCGAAAACAATAGAAGAATAATCAAGAGGACAGTAGATAACGATTAACATTGCATTTACATTTGTTTTCCTAACCATTTCACCCCATGCAAGGCAATAAAGCCACTAAGACACAAACGGATACTGAGTGAAAGAATAAGAAAATAAAAGAAACAATATTAAGAAGCGAAACAATAGAAGAATAATCAAGAGGATGCAGTAGATAACGATTAACATTGTGCATTTAAATTTGTTTTCTGACCCTTTCACCCCATGCAAGGCAATAAAGCCACTAAGACACAAGCGGATACTGAAAAGAATAAGAAAATAAAGAAACAATATTAAGATGCGAAAACAATAGAAGAATAATCAAGAGGACAGTAGATAACGATTAACATTGCATTTACATTTGTTTTCTAACCATTTCACCCCATGCAAGGGAATAAAGCCACTAAGACACAAGCGGATACTGAGTGTGAAAGAATAAGAAAATAAAGAAACAATTTTAAGAAGCGAAAACAATAGAAGAATAATCAAGAGGACAGTAGATAACGATTAACATTGCACTTAAATTTGTTTTCTGACTATTTCACCCCATGCAAGGCAATAAAGTCACTAAGACACAAGCGGATACTGAATGTGAAAGAATTATTAAATAAAGAAACAATATTAAGAAGCGAAAACAATAGAAGAATAATCAAGAGTACAGTAGATAACGATTAACATTGCATTTAAATTTGTTTTCTAATCATTTCACCCCATGCAAGGCACTAAAGCCACTAAGATTGACGATTCCGCTTTCCAAATGCGCTTTCAGCTCACACTTTCCGTCCACTTCTTGAACTGTTCCCAGATATTTTAAATTTTGTACTTGTTTGATTTTGGTATTTACGATTTGTAATTTTCATCTTGGAGGGGGGGGGTCATCCTTTTTCTAGCATAAAGTTTTAAAAGGTAAGGAAGAAAAGAAAGCAGCAAACCTGAATTTTCAGAACACTTAAATTCGTCGAAATGTACTAAAAACAAAGAATTGTCAGCTAATATGGCCGAGTGGTTTGCACGTTCACATTCTAACCATAAAACGAATCTCACCATTGTCGATTTGTCATGAAGGAGACTTCTTGATGTTATCGGAATGGCAGGGTAGATCCCACCCCACGGCACATTTTGAAAGTGAAAACTGAGTAGACGGAACATCGATAGCTGTCACTCGTCATCGAAGGCTTGATCCTGCTGGCCTTGTCCAAATTGTTGATCATGCTAGATAACAAGCTCTTTCCAAGAAACTGTAACTAAAGATTGCCCAGAATAGTTGCAGTATAAACCACAGGTGTGTTCTGTCGGTATTGAATAAGCACAAATGCGCCTGAGCAAGTGTCTGCAAGAGGGATTGGCTAGCTGCCTAGTATATACGAATGACCAGCTGTGTACATATACATAAGCTTATACAACGAGGAGCCGATTAAAAACTCTTTTGATAAAACCTATAAGATTCCGTTTAATTAAGTACGTTCAACATGAAGCTACAGTCGGCTCTCCGCGGATTGATATTGTAATTACAGTAAATTAGAGTATATTTCTCGAATACTCAAATTACAACTGACCAACTACATTGAAACAATGATTATAATCTTCGCTATGATAACCAGACTACGTAGTACTACATTGGCAACAAGGTCTCATCAATTCACAATTGAATTGTCTAAATGGCACCGTACGTTCAACGCTAACAGCTCCTTTTCTCGCTTGTGAAACTCTCTCCCTGCTCCATGCTTTCCAACCAACTTTAATTTTTTTTTTAATTTCAATGCAACGTCAATCGATATCTACTGTCCTCCTGAATACTCTTCTTTTGGTCTTGCCCCTTAGTAATGTTTCTGTTTTCTAATTCTTCCACACAGTAACCGTTTGATTTTTAGTTGCTTTACTGCTTAGCTTGAGGTGAACTCAATTAAAAAAAAGAATTTATACCAGACAAAAAAAAGTAGAGGGAATAAAGAGTCTTGTTGGAAATATCCACATTTAATTTTTATAATTAAATTGAAGGTTTTAGCTCCTGTTTTTGAAACACGAGAACTCTTATGTAGCGATGGAATCATATTTTTTAAAAATTATTATAATACACGCACAAACACACACACACACACACACACACACACACACACACACACACACACATATATATATATATATATATATATATATATATATATATATATATATATACGGTATAAAATGACAATTGGAAAAAAATCTTAGATTTTGCCGACACGTTCGTCTTCCGATTTTTCAAGGCAAAAATGTAATCGAAATTTATCAATTTATACCAATCTGTCTTGTCCACAGAATTGATCTGGGAATTTAACTATATATATATATATATATATATATATATATATATATATATATATATATATATATATATATATATTAATATATATACAAGGCTTAATCAACGAGGAGTTGATTAAAAAATTCTGTTGATAAAACCTATAAGATTCCGTTTAATTAAAATACGTTCAACATATATCGTCATGAAGCTACAGTCGGCTCTCCATAGATTGATATTGCAATTACAGTTAATTAGAGTATATTTCTGGAACACTCAAATTACAACTGACCAACTACATTGAAACAATGATTATAATCTTCGCTATGATAACCAGACTACGTTGTACTACATTGGCAACAAGGTCTCATCAATTCACAATGGAATTGCCTAGATGTAATACCAAGTTCTATGCTAACAATTTATTTTCTCGCTAGCGGAACTCTCTAACTCTCTTCCGGCTTCATGCTTTCTGGCCAACTTTGATCTTCAAAAATACAAACGCAATGTCAAACGTTATCTACTGTCTTCTTGATTACTCTTCTTTTGTTTTTTTGTTTGTTTTTTTTTTTTTTCTCCTTAATAATCTTCCTCTTTTCTCTTGTTCTTTCACACCCAATAACCCTTGCGTCTGAGCATGGAGTGAGACGATTTAAAAGATGTCCATTTTATAAACATGTTCCCTATGTTATCGCTTTTTTAATATCAGCTTTATAAACTTATGGCATTTTCCCATTTCTTTTATATCCATTTCATAAACATCACCATTTTTTATCCGTCTTCTTGTATATCCAGTAAATAAACATAGCATTATTATTGGTCCTGACCTGGCATCTCGGCTACAGTCACTCTCCCACCGCTGCCAAGTAGCTTCCCTGTGCCTTTTCGACAAATACTTTCATAGTAATTGTTCTGATGAACTGTGATCTATGGTAGGTAGACTTTATGAATCAAATCAAGGTTGAGCCTGGTCAGTAGCTAGATGAGTGCTGTAAACTTGGATGTGCGGGTGGTGTCATGGACAATGGCTCAAAATTGTTAACCGGTGAGCCGACTCCCTGTATTATCACCGAAGTTAAGCAACGTTGAGCCTGGACAGTACCTAGATGGGGGACCATTTGGGAACACCAGGTGCTGTAAACTTGGATGTGCGGATGGTGTCATGGACAATGACTCAGAATTGTTAACCGGGGAGCCGAATCCCTGTACGATCACCGAAGTTAAGCAACGTTGAGTCTGGTCAGTACCTAGATGGGTGACCATTTGGGAATACCAGGTTTTGTAAATTTGATTGTCGGATGGTGTCATGGATAACGGCTCAGAATTGTTAACCGGGGAGTTGAATCCCTGTACGATCACCGAAGTTAAGCAACGTTAAGCCTGATCAGTACCTAGATGGGTGACCATTTGGAAATACCAGGTGCTGTAAGCTTGGATGTACGGATGGTGTAATGGATATTGGCTCGGAATTATTAATCGGGGAGCCTAGTTTCTGTACGATCACCAAAGATAAGCAACGTCGAGTCAACGTCCTTTCTTCTGAGCCATTGTCTATGACACCACCCGCACATCCAATTCACAAAACTCAATTCAGTGGTAGTATGAAGGTACGTCACCAAGTAAATCATAGTACTGAAAAACGCATTTGTTTTGCACAACGAACATTTTTATTGCCGCAGAATTTCCTTTAAGTAGATTTCTTTTAAGTATTTTTTATTTTTGAAATCAGTAGTTACAATTGTTGAAATTATCGCTAACATTTTTTGTCAAGATTTACAAACTCTGCATTTCGTTCAATTTCGTAAACCAATCGATGAAATTTGAATAAACTGATTTGTTTGGAAAATACTTTCACAAAAACACTACCTCCCGGTTTAATTTCTTTAATTTAGTTTAATTTTATAAGAACTTCATGATAAACAATATTTTTTTTTAATTTCTTTTATAACAGCGAAAAATAAATTCTTAGGATTTCTTACTCTGGAGCATGCAACATACAACTGGTCATGCATAAATATTTCTTTCTGGAGCCAAATTCCAACTTTTTGAAGTGTTTGGAATTATGACTTTGTAGCGAAGAAAACGGCGAATTGCCTCGTCAATCCAAGCGACCGCGTGTCGCGTGTATCCTACGATGAAAACCGAAAGTTACCTACGACGGAAAAAGAAAGTTACTTGCCGAGAAAATGGGCACGTATTCTGCATGATATGCTGAAGACGGAATATTCAAATTAGAAACAAGTCATTCGCCATAAAGTATTTGGGATATGCTAATATTGTGCGCCCTCTCCCAGCTGTCGACGATTGAAGAAAATGCTCGTTCGATAAAAGCAGTTGGTGTTCTCGAATCGGGGATAAATTTCATGTATTTTGCTATTGCGGTTGTCGGTAAGTGTGCTATTTTTCTAACTGGTTACATGCGTTGTGATTTGTGACAGTCCATGAGAATCGTGATTTCCACATTACTTTCTGCCACTGATATTTGAGTTTGAACCTGTGATCCTGTTTTCTTCGTTGTGAAAGTAATCTAAGACATCAATTTCTGAACTGGAACATCAATTTCTGAACTGGAATTTTAGCTCAAGCACGGCGAAACTGACTACAGATTTGTTAATAGTTCTCTCAAACGCAAGGCGAGCTGGAAACTGGATTGTTGGTTTGGTTTGATTTACGGCACATCAACCTCAATGATTCGTTGACAGCTGAAACAGTTGACAACTGCCGACAAGGTTTTTATTGCTAGTTATAATTTTGTTTTTCAAAAATGTATTGCTATTATTAAAACCTATTTTTACGCTTTCATAGTGTTTTAATCCCAGGGTGGACTTGGGAACACCAGCAATTAAAAGGTGTTTCCACACTTCTCAAAACCTCCTTATCAGATGCCTTGCTGTCGGGTGTAATTTGTCGTCATACCCAGGACTGCTGGATTTTTGTATGTATAAAAACTTAAAGAAACAATATGCTTAAAACAATATTGCATTTTTATTAAATAAGTATTTGTTATTTTAATCATTAAATCGTTTTTAAAACAGTGGGAGTATTTTATATGTTAAACAATAAATCTTTCAATTAAAAAAAATAATAAAAATTTATTGTAGTGAGCTATGCACCCGAGTAAAACCAAATTTGTACGCTCTTACCTGTTGGCATTTCTCCTCAACGATCGGTCAATATATGGTAATTTTAGAGGGTGTGACGGACGAACGGAAGTCATAGAATTATATATATATATATATATATATATATATATATATATATATATATAATCGATGAAATTTGAATAAGCTGATTTATTTGGAAAATACTTTGACAAAAACCGTACTTCGCAGTTAAATAATTTCTTTAATTTTATAGGATTTCATGGCAAACAATGTTTTTTTTAAGAAAATTTCTTGTTTTCCTTTTTAACAGCGAAGAATAAATTTTTAGGATTTCTTCCTCTTGAGCATGCAGCACACAACTGGCCCTGCATAAATATTTCTATCTGGAGCCAAAATTCCAACTTTTTGAAGCATTTGGCCTTATGATTGTAAACGATGGGCCAACTAGATTCATGGATATATATATATATATATATATATATATATATATATATATATAGATAGATAGATAGATAGATAGATAGATAGATAGATAGATAATATTAGTGGTAAATATACACATACATATGCAAAATATATAAATATATATACATAGGTGCATACATATACATGTATATTTTTTGAATAAAAAATTCCGAGAAGATAGAATCCAGGTAGAACTCAATGTCCAGGACAGAGTAAGGATATAATAAAAAGGCTTAAACACCAATATTCCATGGTCATAATTTATTCCATTGGAATCATAAATACATACTTTATATGTTTATTTTTCATTTGTTATATTAGTTTAAACCTTTTTATTATATATATATATATATATATATATATATATATATATATATATATATATATATATATAAACTTAAAGAAAATATATGCAAAAAACAATATTCCATTTTTATTAAATAAATACTTATTTTAATCTTTAAATAATTTTTAAAGTAGTGGGGATATTTTATATGTTAAACAATAAATCTTTCATTTAAAAAAAAAATTAATGAAAATTTATTGTACTAAGCTACGTGCCCTAGTAAATCCAACTCTGTACCCCCCCCCTTACCTGTTTGAACTTCTCCCCAAAATCTGGTTTCACCCGGTCGATGTATTGTGATTTTAGAGTGTGGGACGGACGAACGGGATAACGGAAGTCACAGAATTTTATATGTAGATGACATTTTTCTTGTCGTAACATTACGCCGATCGAAAATTATATACTCAAAAGTTCAGCTGCAAATTCAGCAAATATCGGGAAAGAAAGAAAAAAGACAAGGACGCCAAATTAATATTTATTCCCTGCAGCTAGAATACAGACAGATTGAGAGAGATCAATCTCTTTCGAATAATCTGACCTTATCAACGCCTGTTCAAATTACGGGTGAAATTCAAAACCCGAATACGATGACTGCTTAAAATAATAAATGACGCAAGGTGGACAATAATTTGTATCAGCCATTGGTAAAAAAAAAAACAGTGTGGTATCAATTACAAGAACATTTTTTTAATTGAAAAAATAAATAAATAAGATCAAAAATAGTGATTCATTTCGGTGCTGACTTGTTGATAGTTAATAAGGGCAATATAGGACGACTACCTTATGACATAATAACATTTTCTTTATTTTCAATGCATTTCTCTGATAAAATCATTAGCAATGCATTACATTATATATATAATAACTGTCCTATTCTATCAGTAATGCTTGGCTTCATTTCTGACCACTGACAATCCCTTTCTTCCTCATTTTCAGTGCATTCCTATAGTAAAATCATAAGCAGTGCATTTACATTATACATATAATAGCCCTGTTCTATAAGTAATGCTTGTATTCATTCCTGACCATTGACAACCCTTTCTTCCTCATTTTCAATGCATTCCTTTAAAAATCATTAGCAATGCATTTACATTATACATATAATGCCCTATTCTATCAGTAAAATTGCATTCATTCCTGACCACTGACAATTTTCTTCATTTGCAATGCATTCCTATATAAAATCATTAGCAATGCATTTACATTATACATATAATAGCCCTGTTCTATAAGTAATGCTTGTATTCATTCCTGACCATTGACAATCCCTTTCTTCCTCATTTTCAATGCATTCCTATAGTAAAATCATTAGCAATGCATTTACATTATACATATAATAGCCCTATTCTATAAGTAATGCTTGTATTCATTCCTGACCATTGACAATCCCTTTCTTCCTCATTTTCTATGTATTCCTATAGTAAAATCATTAGCAATCCATTTACATTATATATATAATAGCCCTATTCTATCAGTAATGCTTGCATTCATTCCTGACCACTGACAATACCTTTCTTCTTGATTTTCAATGTATTCCTATAGTAAAAATCATTAGCAATTTTACATTATATATATAATCGCCCTATTCTATCAGTAAAGGTTCCATTCATTCCTGACCACTTCAATCCCTTTCTTCCTCATTTTCAAGTATAGTAAAATCATAAGCAATGCATTTATTTATTATAATAGCCCTGACTTGTATTCATTCCTGACCATTGACAATCCCTTTCTTCCTCATTTTCAATGCATTCCTATAGTAAAATCATTAGCAATGCATTTACATTATACATATAATAGCCCTATTCTATAAGTAATGCTTGTATTCATTCCTGACCATTGACAATCCCTTTCTTCCTCATTTTCTATGTATTCCTATAGTAAAATCATTAGCAATCCATTTACATTATATATATAATAGCCCTATTCTATCAGTAATGCTTGCATTCATTCCTGACCACTGACAATACCTTTCTTCTTGATTTTCAATGTATTCCTATAGTAAAATCATTAGCAATGCATTTACATTATACATATAATCGCCCTATTCTATCAGTAAAGGTTCCATTCATTCCTGACCACTGACAATCCCTTTCTTCCTCATTTGCAATGCATTCCTATAGTAAAATCATTAGCAATGCATTTACATTATACATATAATAGCCCTATTCTATCAGTAATGCTTGCATTCATTCCTGACCACTGACAATCCCTTTCTTCCTCATTTGCAATGCATTCCTATAGTAAAATCATTAGCAATGCATTTACATTATACATATAATAGCCCTGTTCTATAAGTAATGCTTGTATTCATTCCTGACCATTGACAATCCCTTTCTTCCTCATTTTCAATGCATTCCTATAGTAAAATC